AATGCTAGTTTGTGTGAGACTGATGCCTGCTAAAGGTAAGAGTATCTGTGTTACGGGTCATCAGGCCTCCACCACTTCGGATCGACAGAAGGTCTTATATAGTAGAGAAAATTCTAGTGAGAATAAACATTATTGCAATATTTATAGGAATACACACATGGGGTATGTGTGTTGCGTTAATTGTGTGTATGTGTGTGTTTGTGTGTATTTAATATTGTCAAAATTCGTTAAAATAATATTATGGGTTTTTTTGTCCATAGTTTTAGATGGTAAAAAGGACTTATTTATTAATAACATAAATAAGTCCTTACTATATGATTATACCAGTTAAATAACATAAGAGTCTAAGAATAAAAAATAAATGATTTTTTTGACATACGAGGTTATCATTCTACACTGACGATATAAAATATTTTCTTACCTTCATATGAAATTTCTAGGTACTCAGCACACATACAGCCGTTTCATATAGAGAGCACTAAACGATATATTCGTTCCCCAAGGGGCTTCAAAGTTTGCGAGGTACGCGTGGCATCTTGTAGTCTACATAAAGTTGTCTTTAAGCTTATGACATTACTTCCGTGTCAAGGTTGTGAGGCGCGCCGTATCTTCGTTACATATATAAACTAAGTACCGCGTATATATTTACACCCGCTTTAATTGTTTTATAGGGTATAAACGTACAGAATGGATTAGTTTACACGGAAGGGATAAATATATGTTATTTGATATCTCTATATATATAAAATTCTCGTGTTTCAATATTCGATCCCATACTCCTCCGAAACGGCTCGACCGATTCTTATGAAATGTTATATTCATATTCAGTAAGTCTGAGAAACGGCTACTATCAATCTTTCAAACTCCTAAGTGATAGAGGGGTGTCAACCCAAAAAAAAAAACATTTTTAGATTTTTTTTTATTATTTCAAAAATACATACAACTACTAATTTTCACCCCTCTACGATCAACCCCTATTTTTTATTATTGTACATACTTATTTTTATTGAACTAAAAAAAGAAAGAAATAATATACATGACAAAAAAAACGTTTTCCGGGTCAGCTAGTTTTATTATAAGATTTTATTATTTAAACTTAACAATAGAACACTGCTAACCGTATGCTAAGATTTTTCTTCCATCGCATAAAAGGTTGCCCACAAATCATCATCAGTTAGTACGATAGCTTACTTGTCTAAATTAAAGAAATGAGTGTAGATATAGGTTTGCACTATGCCATAATGAGGGGTTACGGGACTTTAGATCAAGAAAGGAGCATAGACAATTTTTAATGATAAGTAATGTCAATCACCGCGCGCGGCAAAAGAGCAGCTGCATACAAAATAGATTATAAATTTATTATCTTTTATTGTCTCTGAACATAGTTCTGAGCTGATAGCACTGAGCTTAACTCAGAGATTTAGGAGTTTTATTTATTCTGTTTATTTGTCAATCTCAAAATTATGAATGTTATTAGAAATGTGGATACATTTTTTTAGTTATATTTATTTACGTTTTTTTCGGTAATATTGCTCAAGTATAAGTTGAGGTACAATATCATTTCGTTAAATAAAAAGGTGAAGCCTTAAAACACAGCGTTTTATTCTTAATTTCTTTGTTTATACAAAAATTTAAAAGGTTTGCACAAAAGCATAGACATGCACTAAAAGAACTGATGAAAGTCAAATTGCAATTCAAACAAAACACCTCATAGATTTATCTATAGTTCTTAACTGGAAACTAGAATTTGAAGAAAGACAATTTTAATCGGTGCGATAAATGAAGATATGCTAATCTGTAAATATAATTTATTAAAATAGATTTTGAAGATTATAAATAATCTGTAGAATCTATGTAGCAGAAACGGAGTAATATTCAGGTGTTCCTATTAAGATTAGATATGAATTCTATGTATAGATAATGTTTGTCTCTGGTTACAATTTACAAAGGATCGGATCTAGAAGGATCCGACTACTTAACATTTATTGTGCACGGTATATTGGCAAATTGTATTCACAGCATTGAAATAATAATTTAATTCGCCAGAACCAAACTGATTTTAAGGCAGGACAATATTGTAGAATGCGGCCTTGTTTGAACCGAGGTGGTTTAAGTGGGCATTGCAAACTCAGTCTCCGAAGAGCAGAAATTCTGGTGTTGGTAGTAGTTTTTTCATAGACAGTAGATGCGCTATCCCTCAATCAATTGGATATCAAGAAAAATGGACATTACATTAATACACAATAGTGAAACATAGTAGTAATCTCGTACAGTGTGTTTTTTGTTTTACAGCCCGTCTAACAGAAAAGCGTTTTGGCGAGTTTTGGAAGAGTACATACATATCTTAAATCACTTAAATCTTTAATTAGCTGTGCACTCAAACCCTACGGCCCAAGAGTCTCTACTCCAAAGGGAATAAAACAAGAATTATCATAAACATAATTCAGGTATATGCCAGCTTTTTCTCCATAGTAGCAGTAACATATTGTAAACGAAAGTGTCGTCTCATGTTTCTCGTGTATGTGATAATCTCGACAAAGTTGCTTCAACACTCGTACAGATACCGGCAAACATCTTGAACAAATGTCCTTGCCTGCGCAGAAGCGATTTTTAGGTATCACTGGGAGGGGTGGCGGCGGCGGGAGAGTGACGTGTCGATCGCGTGATTGGTAAATGCTTAAGAAGTTTGCCGGTATCTTTACTCTTATGTATTCGACTAGAGACTTGTTTTTGATGTACGAGAGTCGTATTTAGCTTAGACAACATGAATCCTTATTAAATCCTTTGAATTACACTTTTAGATTATCGCGCAACTTTTTTTGCGTGGTAATCTAAAATAGTTAGTTTTTTTTATATTTTTTGCAACAGGACGCAAACGGGCAGAAGGGAGGAGGCTGATGTTAAGTGATACCACCGCCCGCGGACACTCACATTGCCAGAAGACTCGCAAGTGCGTTGCCGGCCTTCCTAGAATTGCAGCTGGTTCCATATAGCGGCGGTGCGCCGCAAAAGCCTTCCCTTAAAAAACGCTCAGTTGTGGAACGACGGACGAGGAGGTGATACGGATGGTATTTTGTATTCTACCTTGACGTCCGATGATGAAACTCCGCTGCAGGTACCATATAATTTTGAAATATACACCATGTGTTCAAGTTCTTTGAATTTGGTAAATGTCAAGCGCGATTAAATGACTCTATTCAGTAGTCAGCGTGAACGCGCCATGATTGGTAAATCAATGCTAAGTAGTGTTAACGATCTATTGTCTATGGGTGCCCCGTGAGGCGACTGCCGATAAGTGCAATCGGAGACCATTAATAACATTATAAATGTAAAATACATCGTAATCTCTATCTATATAAAATTCTCGTGTCACAATGTTCGTTCCCATACTACTCCGAAACTGCTCGACCGATTCTAGCTAGATGGATTTTTTTATGCATATTCAGTAAGTCTGAGAATCGGCTACTATCTATCTTTCAAACCTCTGAGTGGTAAGGGGAGTCCAACCCAAAAAACAACACAACAACCCTTTATTTTTTATCTCTCTACGATCAGCCTTTATTTTTTTATTTGTATATTAAAAACTATTGACTTGAACTCTGAGGTTTATATATAGAGAACAATTCACTGAACAACCTAAAAAATTTTCATTCTGGAACACCGAACAGTCTCTGGGGTAGCATAGCAAATGTTCCATATTGTACTGAAAAGGTAGGCTAAGTAAAATGACATTAAGGAGAAACGAAGTTCGCGGGGGCAGTTAGTATACCTACTATAAAATAAAATACCTCGACCGCGATTGACTGAACTTGAACCATATCGTTGAAGAGCCCGCCAAAATAAACGAAATCCACGCGGGCGGAAGCTAGTAAAGAAATATGGATGCCAATAAATGTTACAAAACACACAGTAACAATAGGTCAACAATTTCGTTACCTTGCTTTAGAGATAGCAAAATGTATAGTTAAAATTCAACATAATATGTAGGTATAATAATTATTAATTTAATATATATAATGAAGGAAATAGATGATCTGGAAATTTGGTGTTGGTGGCGGATTCTAGGAGGAGGACAGCTAAGGATAATAACGTGTGCATACTAAGACAGTTACAGGTAAAAAATCGTCTTCCGAAACTTTGTTACCAACAGATCCCGAGTTGACCATGTAACACGCAGAGGTCCAGAAAATATAGAATAACTTGTGACTGACAAAGTGGAGGGCACCAGACCTCGATCCCCTACTCGGTGGCTCAAGTAAAGGCCCTTACAGGTCTAACCGTCATCCAGGCGCAGAGGTTTGCCGAAGAAAGGGGAAAGTGGAGGAAGATGTCACTCATAATATCATTCACATCAACGATGGTGTATAAATAAAACGAAATAGTTAAAAAGATATATGTATTTATATTGTAACATATATTTTTAAAGTATCAAAATAATAATAATAGATCAGTCGAACCACAGTTAAACATGGATAATAGATTTACATAGCGAATTATATCCGTCAAGTATTCGTTTACGTCAATACGATAATGTCACTATTGACAGCCCCAATTTCATACATTTTGTTTATTGTAAATTTTACCCCTACTTGTTCTGTGATGGCGAGTACTATTCGAAAGATAATATCTGTTTGTTTAAGATCCCGTTTGAAAAACCCACTGCTTAACATTTCCATAATATTTTGTCCATTCTATTACGTACGAATTTATATTAAATAAATAATTAATATAATTCTTGGTATTGTTCTAGCTCTCAGCGGCTTACTAGTACATGCATTGCTTTTAAATGAATAAAATGTTTTACAACACTATAAATCTCCCATAACAAGTGCGCATAATGCATATAATGGCTCACTTAAGTAATAAAATCATAAAATTAAATTGAATACATTGAATACATATAACGAATTAAAGTTGCATTTTACTTTAATCAAGTTTGACCGATAATGTCTTTAATTGGAATCTTTGGTATTTAACTTAGAAACTAATTAACGATTAAACTACGTACTCTGGTTAGGCGTTAAAGCCTGAAAGATGTTTTTGTACCAAAACTCCACAGTTTTCCCCCAAGCCCCGAGAGTGGCGTCGTCAAGATGTAACACTTCGATGAACATGTTTACTATGACACCCTTTAAATCCTGCAATAAACAATACACATCTCAGTCAGATGACGTAGCTATGTCCACCGTAGATCCAAAATATACGCTGTATAGCAGTGTTTCCCAGCCTTTTTCGTGCCATGCTTTAGTGCTAAATTTCCAAAAATTTAAACTATAGATTTTAGGAAATTTTTAATTTCTGCTTTGGATTGCCCCCCTTAACAATCAATTGGAGCGTGGGCCCCACGTTAGGAAACACTGTTCTATAGAATTATGTGAGAGATATTTCCTTGATATCTTTCTGAACGCTAGGATAGGTAGTACAACGCCACCGGTATCGCAAATCGAATTAGTATAGTAATTGCTACAAGATAAGCAATGTACAGTTTTATGCGACTGCGACGCCCATCAGCATACGTAATTGTGTATCAGTCAATGCAAAGAGTAATTTTGGCAGGGCACTAAGGCAAAGATGTTCTTTGTTAAAACAACTTCCTAGCCTCATTGTCACTTATTAAGGCAGAATTTTAGTCATCCAAAATCCAAGAATGGGGACGATTTTAAAAGGATTAATTCGAATTAATACGTAAACTTATACAATGGATTTAGAAAACAATAGAATTACAGGTGTCAGTGACAGATCCCGAAATAATTCCTAGAAGGAGGGCCTCGGCCTTTGGGAGGGTTGTGCGGTACCGGGCGAGTGCTTAAACCGTACATGGAGGACATGGTCGAATTTCTAAGGCAAGCACGAATTATAAAAATCATATACTTGACGCTGGCTAATGCACAAACCGTGCCAGAGCCATAAAAAAAATGTTAGAAGGCTTTTATGAAACCTACAGTATATTAAAGAAAGCGAGTATAATAATAACAGCGGTTTACGTATACGTTCAGCGTACATACATGGAAATGCGATTCTTGAATTTTACGTCGTCCATGAGACTCGCCAAGTTTGTGCATCATTACAGCCACGACTTCTGGCTGATGGAGATTGACAACAGCCTGGTTTAATGCAGACATTAGGTTGATAACGTGAGCCTTAAATTGTATGTTCGTGATATATTCATCTTCGGGTAGTTTCTTTATCATTTTGAAGAAGTCTAGGGTCTGTGGGTGCGCGCGAAATAATCTGTAATTCAAAAGAGTTTATAATTCTTTATTTTGTTAATCTTTGGAGCATAAAGAAATTTTTTTACGTAAGAATTACGTGATACAAAATATAATTTAATGTAACTAATTATATGGAAAGGAACATCTTATAATACAATGAGTTTATCTGTAACAACAAAAAAGAGTTGTCATAAAAATAATTTTTTTGAAATATCACTATTTTTCAGTATTTATCACCGTTTGTTCGATAAGGGTCTTTTCTTCGCTATTTACATTTCCATGTGTACTAAAGGAAATATGTAGGTACTGAAGTCGTAAAAATTATCGTCGTATAAATAAACATTTTTTTTCAGGCAGTTTCTGCCATCCATGGGCAACGGTATCACTTAACATCAGATTATTAAGACATCAGATTATCAGATGATTAATATATTAATGACGTGTATCGGGGATAGAAGGTTCAGGACTCGCGTTTCTAATAGAAGGCATTCGATTTAAAAAGCCTTATTATAAAAATGTTTCTTCGGAAGTTTATACATGAAAAGATCAACAATATCAAGCAATCTATTGTTTGTAAACAATTACTGCATTTTATTTATTTACCGTTAACGTCGATTCGCTAACCGTCTAACATCTACTTTGATGTAACCTATAAAACTCGAAAAGAGAGCTATAAACATTTTATAGTAGCATAAAATGAAAAGTATCCTATTGCGTGTGTGAATGACCTAATGAATTTGTAAATAAAATGACTGGACTATGTTCAAATATTAGTATTAGATGACATTATAAAGTCATGTATTTTTTAAATCGTTAATAATAATAATAATGCGTGATTTAAATGCGCACGTTCGACAGAAAGTCTGCTCAGGTAGAGTGCCAACCTACGACCTCATGTATGAGAGTCACATGCTAAAGCTGCTAGGCCTATTGCTCTTATTATCTCCAAATTATAGCGTATATACAAATATATTTATTCAGCTCCACAGCCTGTTGGTATTAAATCTCAAAATTATACAATATTCTACTCGAAACAAATAATTATAACGCAAATGATAGTGAAGATAAACGGTAAAAACTAATCATTTGTATACTAGCGGAAAATGCCTTAATTTCAATTTCAAAACTTCTTTATTTCGTTACATAAAAATTTATTGTGGTACATATCCAGTGTACATTATTGTAGCGCAAAGTGACTAAACCACTGCTTTCATAGCACAGATTTTTAAATTTATAAGACTAATTAAAATATTATTACCTCATACCAAAAGGCTTAAGCGCCTCAAATTTTTATAAATACTCTGACACTTTACAAATAAACAAGACAAAACAAGTTTAGTTGGACGTTACGAAGAAGTTTATTATATATCTCTAGACTCACTCCTACTTAGTGTGCTAATTCCATATTAAACCGATTGGCCTAAAAAAAATTATTGAACGAAAATTCACAAAATCTAGTTTTTAATCCGCCCAAAAAAAAAATCTACTTCTTAACAATTATTCTTATTTTTAACTTTTAATTTTCATTTATTTACATTTTTATTTATTTTACTAAACACCTTTACACAACACTTCATTACGTACACTGGTAACTTTTACTATTTTTTTTTTCTTCTTTTCTTTCTTTTTTTTGTGATTGAAGCGCAAATTAGCTGCTGTGGTCTCATTCTGCCCCTCAGCATAATACTGAGCCAGGGCCTATTACAGCCACAGGCATTACACACTTGAAAGCGAACCGAATGGGAAAAGGGATTTTTTTAATTTTTTTTTATTGTTTTTGATATCTCTCATTTTATTTTTTCTTTGATTATTGTTATTTTGTGTGTTTATGTGTGTGTGTTTTTGTTTGTAATAAATGTTATGTCTATGTCTAAAAGAGAGTAGTATTACATACCCATCACATGAATGTAAGATAAATCAAATATTCGAGACGGGCCGGTGACATTGTAGACGATTTCAAAGCAATGAAAACAAATTGAATCGAGCATCGGCATTGTTCGCCGGTTCAATTGTGTATTCTGTACGAGGCGCATACTTTATTAATCTTATTCCCTCGTCTCCATTTTGTATTTCCTACTCTCTATAGAAGATTTATGCTTTGTTAAGTTCCTCATTTATTATTTTATAGCTGTTTCTGTGGAATGGCGTCAAGGCTTGTTTAAGGTTTTTTAACAACCTTTAGGAATTTAGGGAATTACCGAGTCCAAAGAGTCTGGAGTTAGTCAGGCACAGTATACGTAAAGGTACAAATTTCAAAGGTAAAGGCAAGCTAGGATTTCTGAAGATAACAATTTTCATAAGGTGAATCAATAGGTAGAGAAACAATTAGAAAGTAAAAACTAAGTTAAATATAATTAAAATTTACCTTAAATTTTAACATTAATAAACTTATAATCCAAAACATTCTGAACTTATACAACAAGCGATCATTTTCAACTCTAGATTTTTTCCAAAAAATATATAATATATATTTATATAACCTAGTTTAAGTAAATAAAGTCCCTTTTTTGGAAATGGCAGATCAGACACTCCCTTGCTGCTTTCACAGATCTGCCTGATCGCATGGTTAATAGGCTATTAGTGGTCCTATATTTAAAAAAAAACTTTTGTGTGTTCGTGTTTTATATAAGCTGCGATATGTGTGGTATATCTGTGAGTTGACTAATACTAATGAGATTGAAGTATATTTAGTATCGGGGAAATTGTCATACGTATCGCTAGGGAATGGACGAGTATTGCGACTGCGGAAGAGTTGTTGCATATGGCACAAGAAAAGACAAAAATAGTTTCTGGTCTCTTTGGTCTGTTTCAAAAAGGTTGTATTAAGTTTTGACACAAGGATATATAGGTGATACGAAATACACCGGGTCATCTAATTAGAAATATATCGTCTTTGGTTTTGTGCGCGATGCTTATTTCGTATTCTATATTTAAATCTCTTTAAGTATAATCTGAATTTGAAATACCTTTTTAACAATTCAGTGCCTGTAGCCAATTGGTTGGCGTATACTGGAGCCCAAGACTTCTGGACGGCTCGGATTTCTCGTTTGGTGAGTCCTGACGTGGGGTTAACTTCGTCTGGGTTACCACCCCATAATAAGTAACTTAGATTGCTGCCCATCTAAAAGAAACTAAATTATAAACAACTAGTATAATTTATTATGAATGTCATATCGGTAAATATGTACACTTAAAATAAATAAAAAATTTAAAGGATAAACATTTACTACAACTTCCCAAATCAAGAGTGTAGATCGGGCTAGAAGAACTGCCCTGCGATTCTGTAACTCACTTTTCGAACTCACAACCGGTTTTCGCATCGGCGGTCTGAAAAGGTGGGAGCTTGTAGTTTATTGTTTATTTGAATGCCAAATCATAAAATGACTGCTTCACGGCTGATTTGAGAGCGACCGCCGATGCGAAAACCGCTGTGTGATTTCGAAAAGTGAGTTACAGAATCGCAGGGCGGGCAAGAAACTGTCCGTCACTCTTTTTAATCACCAAATTTTGTGTAAAAGCAAATTGTAAGGAACTGCAACCATTACGCCTAGCTTCAATCGAAACTTAGAATTAGCAAGCAAAAATAAAAGTTACAATATTGTGAGAACAAAATTACGTTTAAAATATTTAGAATCACGTTTACCAGAGGTGCTGTTATACTTTTCATAGATTATACCACAGAGATGTACGTCGGCTTTTAATTCTTGTTAAACAGATGGTAGAGCTACGAGGCTTTGAAGCGAACTTTAGACAAACCTTACGAAGTTTAGCACATTATTTGAAAGCCTAAATAGTAATATCATATACGTCCTGGACAATCTGATTGTTTTTGAAGTCGGTTCACAAATTATTTTTATAAGAACATGCTGCATTACTTATTATATGATGAAATATTTTCTTTGAGACAACAGGAAATTGTAACTGATAACCCTTCATTAGGTTAATAACAATTATCTCTTCACAAACATATTTATGTTTTTTATTATAATACTTTTTTTTCAGCTGTTTACCCATATTGTAGATGATACTAGGCAAGACAAAGCATCTGCGTTGGTACTATGTAACCTTAATAACGGCAATAGTGCTCGCGATTCCAATACGTTAATAAGTACGTAACACAAATCGACGTAAATCTAAACAATTGAAAACGCGTGGTAATCTCAATAAAAAGTCGGAATCACGAAGGTTACAAAGAATCGGCGCTGTTCACAACTCATCAATATAATAACAGCTATATTTATATTCTACACTGTATTTAGGATATATTAAATCGTTCACAAAGTCTGTTAATATCACTTAGAACAATAATGTATCGATACACATTTCTTACTGTACTAAATAGTTAAGTAGAAAGTCTAAATAAAAGTTGAATATGTTTTACTATGACCCATAGCAACCTACATTTTTGGCAGTATTTTATTCAGAACTTGTTGGGACTTTGATAATACGGAAGCAATTATTACAGCAGATAGCACAGTAATCTATGTTCAAACATTTTTGAATTTAGAACCCATAAATAAACATGAAAAACTACGACTAACAATGTTATATTATATAAAAAGAAAACATTGCATTACATTTGGCGATTTTCCAATTAATTCAACAATGTTAGTTTACGGTTAAATAGTTAGATTTTATAGTAACTGTTTGATGGCTAATACTATGTTGTTTAACCGCAAACAAATATAACCCGGCCTCGAATGTGCCAATATTTGTCGATACTACAAATTGTTCGGTCTGGTAAATTTAATATGAGTTAGACAAAACAATCTATACAAAAAGGGCGATAAATGAAAAAGTTCCGTTGTATTGGTGACATTTTTATTAGTTTGTTTTTATAAAACTGTTTTTGTGTTTAGAAATAGATATTTGGTTGGTCTGTTTGAATAAATAAATATATAGTTTAAACGCAGCTCTAGAATTCGCGCCAGATTACACAGTCAATGAATTAAGATTGTATTTTAGTAATGTGCCTCAAATATCAGTTTTGCGCTCTTTTGTCTTTGGTAAAGCGTTCAGATATTGAACAGTAAGGTTTATATTGTCTTCGGGCTATATGCAATCTACATTCATTACCATAAAGCTACAAGCTTGTTGCTACGAAGCTCGACGATTTGAATAATGAAAGCTACCGGTATTTTATGGTAAAAAGCAATCGTTATAAAAATATCATAAAGGAATTTGTATCAGAGAAACAAACTGTAAGACTTTTAGAGAAGGCTACTTCTTAATATAATTCAAATTTAAAAACACGCAGTCCAATGATTGGGGAAGATTGTTTTAAACTCTCTGGTTATAAATAAATTTAAATCAAAAACATATTGACATGGGACAGTAATTTTTGCGGAAAATTCCAAGTACTACGCGTCAATTGATGGTGTCAATCATCATTTCCATAGACTAATCATACCATAAAAACAAAATTCAAAATTTATTCAAACATATTGGTAACTATGTACACTTATGAACGTCAATATTAAAAAAAATTAGATTTGTCAAATTGGTATTACTATATTTAGCTTCTATAATATTTACTTTAATGTGAAAGATTTGGGAACCCTCTTATTTAAAATCATTTTTGTTTTTTCAACTGTTTCCAACACGCCTGAGTGCATGAGTGAGTGTGTGGGTGGAAGTGAGTGAATGAGTAAGTGTGTGGGTGCATGTGAGTGAGTGAGTGAGTGATCGAAATGTGTAACTATATATTAGGGGGCGTCCATAAATTACGTGAGGTGTTTATGGGGGGGGAGGGGGTCGAGTCAAATCTCATTTAATCTTACGTTGGAGAGAGGGGGGGTCTTGGCAAATATCACGCAATTTTTTTTCGGATTGAAAAAAAAAATTAGGAAAACTAAAGGTCATCATCTCTGCAACTTCCCGCTAACTCCATACCTAAACGCTCAACATTTCACATATTTTGTTTTTGTGCTCGAAGAGCGTTTACATAAGAAACCCACATTTTGAAAAATCTCACGCGAGATTGGGGGTTGGGGGAGGGGGTTGAATAAAATCTCACAACATCTCACCTGGGGGGGGGAAGGGAGGTACAGAAAATTTAAAAAAAACACCTCACGTAATTTATGGACGCCCCCTTAGGTCTCAGGAGCATCTCCAAGACTGCGTAATGTGTGTTAATAAGCCGGTGAGCGGGTAGATATTAAGTCTGCCTTGCCATGCATATTGCGTCTGGCAAGTCAGTCTTTACAGTCTGACGACAACATTCCTATTACTTTTTTTTTATATAAAAAACGTTCATAGTATATTTAAGTATCTTTATCAAACGAACTTTTAAAAATAAATCCGATATCAAACTAATTTATCAGTGCAAATGTGTAATACGCAAACAATTGATTGTTTAAAGAAGTCATGTGGTCATGTATGTAACGTGATTCGTATGTTTATTTAGTAAATAGTAGTAATCATTGAAAACTTACGCAAACTTAATTAATAAGATAGTGTTATTTACTTCGTATAAAAAAAATCGGCCATACAAGCTCTGGAACTTGTAATCAGTTGTTATTTTAGACTTTTTAAAAGCCAATTTAATTAAATACCATAGTGACTCTATATCATTACAATTTAATCAATTATTATTTTTAAAAGGCTATATCTCTATATTTTTAGGAGTAAGGAACAATATACTTAGCCGTTTCTTTTTAAATATATAAATTATGTTAATGCATTATACATTGCTTCCCCGTTTAATACAAGTAATGTAGTTTTATACGAATATTTTCTATTATTAGAGGTGCCCGGAAGAGAAAGAAGAAGAAATTAACTTAATAGGGTCACCCAACGTAATTATATTCTGTAAATCCTTTTTATATTGTGTAAATAAATAAATAGTATACATTTTTTTTTCTAATAAAAAGTGAGATAACACATTTTTTTAAACGTCCAATTTACGTTTTGTCTATAAATATGTGCTTATACTGAATTCACTTTAAACATCTCCATAAATTGATTTTTTTATATTACCATGGAAATAAAAAAATCTGTACATAATTACAGTCTAAAAAAACAAAAAAAATAACAAATCGAACCAGTGAAATATACCTACGAAACAAAACCGTGTAACCTACACTTTAATTTTTAACTTACGATTATATACATACGTTTTAATATCACAAAATCACGACTATTATGAATCGCGTTACGAATAAAACTGATCTCGATGGTCATGACTTGATGGCATTAAGATCTTCTTATCGATTTGCGATATAGGGTCCTAGGTCATTGAAATCGTCTAAGCCGTCATAATTATAATTATATTAATTTTACTATCACTATTATTTGCCCTATGAGTGTCTCAGATATTGAAGAGTTTAATAATGACTTAGGGCTCCCACACAAACTGCGAACTCGCATCGCATCGAAAATATTTGCGAATTCGCACGAACGCACCGCAAGAAGTTCCGATCTGCTTCGCATCGCACATTCTTGCGATATTACGTCATCCTTGGTGACGCCATTTTAGTCCGCTCTGAGACAGCTTTAGAGAAAGACGCGCGGCGCCTCCGCCGCCTTCTTTGTTTATAAAAAATTGCGGAAAATGTTATGGATTTTTTAATATTTTTAATTGAGGAGCGTCCCGTCCTTTGGGACACAAGTGATGAACATTATAAAAATAAATTTATTAAGCAAGATGCGTGGAAGAGCGTCTGTGAAAGTTTGCATCAGAGTTCATAATCGTAATAAATGGATGAACCTAGAATCTTCTTTTTCTTTTATATCTATTTTACAATAACATAAGTGCAATTATCTTTTTGCGATCCATCTTACGCGTCCTAAAAACACGTCCAGTACGGCTGACTACGAAGGAATGGTCGCCCTACCAAACGGTTCATCGCACCAAATCGTATCGCAGAAATTCGCATCGCAGGAATTTGCGATGCGAATTTACATCGCATCGCATCGCAGTTTTGTGTGGGAGTCCTTAACTAGACTTAAGATTAAATAAAAATGTAACTTCCTTGTCTTTCCTGTGGAATAAAAATAAACAAAAGCGGTGCTTAGACGAAAGTCATACGTTGACATTACAGATAAACTAACGTAGTAGCTGGCAGTCCCATCCGCGACAAAAAAAACAGCGGTGCTGCAACCTCATTCATTCATGATCATTTTTAAATCTAATAGGCAAGTAGGTGATCAGCCTCCAGTGCCTGACACACGCCATCGACTTTTTGAGTCTAAGACATGTCGGTTTCCTCACGATGTTTTCCTTCACCGTTCGAGCATATGTTAAATGCGCACATAGAAAGAAATTCCATTGGTGCACAGCTGGGAATCGAACCTACGACCTCAGGTATGAGAGTCGCACGCTGAAGCCACTAGGCCAACACCGCTCATATACATAATATATTTAGTGCATTATATTATATAGAAACAAGATGTAAAAATAAGAAATAAATGAGCAAAATACACAGCTTTAGAGGTGAAAGAGATGAAAACCCAATATTAAAATGTATAATCACATCGCTGTAGAATACAATTACAAAATCCGTCCATATTATAATCACTTTAATACTGCACTTCGGAAGTAGAAAACCAATCAATAAACACGTTGTTTACGTATCTCAGGCACAGAATGAAATATAAAGCAGTTGCGACTATTTTTGATTGTTTGATTCATTGTAAATACACCTCTTAAGGAAGATTCCATTTTTATGGACGGCTATGCTCGCCCGCACCGTTCTGGTGACGTGAAGCGTAGAAGCAAGAAGTTGGAATTAGTCGTTTAGATTGGCCAATTGGCCATTGAGCTAACTGGGGTGTCCCAAAGAGACGAGTAAGATCAAAAGTTATGCAAAAAAGCTCCCTCACGGCCCTTAAAACGTTATTAAAAACATTGTGGAAAGCGAGCCCAGAAGGATTCAAGCTATGATTTTAGCTAGAGGACTAACTCAAAACTTTGTTAAATTAAAAAAAAACTTGTCTTTATTGCAAACCACTTCTTATTTTTTGGCCGTGTACATCGGTTTTAAAGAACTCAATATAAAATATTTTTGCCAGAATTCACTTCACGCGTATTTACATTTTAAATATTGATTATAAATTTACAGACTACGTCAGATAATTAAATTTTATTCAATTAACTGAAATTGACCTTATAACGTAAATTTAATAAAGTATATAAAGACGACGTACGTGAAACGCGGCCTTTGAAATATGGACAAGGCGATATTTCGGAGATTAACTAACCTTCGGTAATTCGACAACCACCGCTAGAGAGAGATTTCAACAATACTTTTCACTTCGTGTACGCGATCGTAAAATATTACGCGACCCAATTATTACGGAATCATATCTCCATCTACGTCACCTACGTACCAACTGTTTTAAATCCACTTGGCATTTTATCGCTGTTGACCCCACAAGTTGAATTATGTGAATTATTCATGGCTTCTTACATAATACATCATTCTGTCAGCTTTCAAGATGCACATTTTATTGCGGAATGCGCATTGCGCTGTGTTTAAGTTCACTTTTAATCAACTGATGTAGCAAATATCATGGCACTTGACTAAATTAAAATGTTATTTTCTCTAGATTCTAAACCGTTGTCAGCGATTAGGTTATTAAGCTACACAATCTTTATTTATATTTTAAATTGTATTGTTTTGTTTAAATCAGTGGCACTACAACCTTTTTAAGCCTAGGCCTCAGATTTCTGTATCTGTTTCGTGATCATTTGGCAATCAAATATGCAAGTTATGATTAGCCTCTTGTGCCTGACCCACGCCGTCGACTTTTTGGGTCTAAGGCAAGCCGGTTGCTGTGACATGTTTTCTTCACCGTTAGAGCGAATGTTAAATTAGAAAGAAAAGCTATTGGGTGCACAGCTGGGGATCAAACCTACGACCTGAGGAATGAGAGTCGCTGAAGCCCACTAAGGCCTACACTGCTCGCTTGTGTACACATTAATTACAAATAAAATCATTGTAACATGAAAATTGTTGTAATTATTAATAACAAATTTATAATAACGTGAGTTATGTGACCTAGTATTAATTAAGTTACATATACATATATATTTTAGTTAATATTTAAAAGCGTAAACAAAATGTAAATAATCATTGCACACTTGAAGCCAATATGAGCCCTTTAGTTTTTACCACACTTTTAAATTGTAATTTAAAATTCTCGTTACCGATAATTTTCAATAAGTGACACTTAGATTAACGAACTCTTCAATGCGTCAAGTTAGTTTTTTGTTAATCCAGCGTCGTAACTCCACTACCCTTAATGTTATCTTAGTTATAAGCTCATGTTTTAAACTATTAAAGCCACTTGTTGCTCAGCTTCAAACAAAATAATTAATTTAACATATATCTGAACATATCCAAACAATAACTCCCACTGCACTGCACTTAACTCGTGGCTAATATTTAATAGGTATACTTATTTTCATACGCAATTAGAAACCTCTATAAATTTATAGTGTAAAGTTTGTTTTGAAAGAGCTGAGAACCCCGACACTTATCTTTTAATAGGCTCCCGAAATCTTATAATAATTGTAATGCATATGTATTATTCATATCGTATCGTAAATAATTAGAAGCGCAAGTCAAATGTTAGCAAACATCGTATATTTGTAGCCAATAAATTGTATAACGATCGGTTTAGTAATAAACGTGCCCTTTAGGTTTTCATACACTCATACATTGTAATATAACATTGTCGTTTCCGATAATGTCGAATAGGTCAACTACAAGTCGTCGGAAATATCTGCGAACCTGGCTTAATGACGTCATACAAACTGGAGAGATAGCAAAAAAATTGAAGATGTAAAAATAAAAAATATTTTATTTGTGTACTTATTTTTATTGATATATTATAGTCCTACCCATCTTACATACAGCACTAAATAGGTAGTTTATGTAATATTTCACCAAACAGAGAAACAATAAACACTAAAATGCGATTACGAAAGCAAGAATAATACACGTGCGTCGGCGATTGCGTTGGCAACGGTACTGGATAGGCGAAAACGGGGCGGGGTGCGGGGAAGCGCATTCCAGCGAGGTTCGCAGATATTTCCGACGTGTAATACATTTATATTCTTTATAGGTAACAGAAGTGTCACTTGGATTTAGGAACCTTATGACATATTTTAAATCTAGTTAGTTTTTTGTTAGTCTAGAGTCGCAACTCACAACCCCATTACTTTTATGTTAAACGACAAAAGCCAGTTGACATCTAGCTTCAAACAAAGTGTTTCATTTATTTGAACATCCCTCCAACAACCGCCACGGAACTTAACTCCCGTCTTAATTGAATTCCAACATTATTTGAGGGTTTGGAAAATACGTTAAGGTTATATGACTACATGTTAAACCTTTGAAAAAATGAAATATAAGAATAAAAATTAACATATAAAACAAATCTTGTTATTTTTTCATATCAAATTAGGAATCTTATTATTTTGTCAGACAAAAGAAACATTGACATTAAAATCTCCTTCATGCGAACCGTATCTAACGCGGTAATGCAACGACAATATTCTTGTAATTTTGTCTCAAATTGAGGTAAATGTTATTGTCTCGTGGTTAAATAAAAGGACATATTTAAAAATAAACTCTATTATGTAAATGATATTGACAATACATATTATACGTAATAATTAGGTATTAAGAATGCTACACTTTGTGCTTAAAATTGTGAGCAATAAAACAGTGGCTCTTAGTAGGCGGTACCTAGTAAAAATAATAGATGCTTAAATTAATAGACTTTTGCAGAAACAACAGTTCATAGTATTTTCTAAACTTAAACTTTATTTAACTAGATAATGCGTTATAATAAAACTTTCAATGTTTTAAATAATATTTTTCTATTGTTAGTGTCGTTTTTTCTATAAACGTAGAATAAGGCGAAAGATAAAACGTAAATAATTTAATTCTAACGCGTGTACATAAGTACATACACGTTTTTTTATTATTATTGTACAATTTAAATTAATGCAGCTCCTTCCAAACAAATTGTAAAACAAAAAACTTGGCGATTAAAAAGAGTAGCGGAGAGTTTATTGCCAGTTCTTCTCGTCGGCTCTACACCCTTGATTTGAGAACTGGCAGTGTGTAAAATTAGAAGCATTTAATATGTATTGCTTTATTGCCATTCATAAGTGTACATTGTGTTACCTTAATGAATTTGAATTTTGAACTGTCTGTTTTACTTAACAATAATTTTTCTTTCGTGATTTCTTATTAAATCTAAATGTTCAAAATAATTGTCAGCTAATAATGTCAGAGACACGTAGTCAAATGTCAATTTCAACTTCATTTTGTGATGTGTCAGTTTCCGTTTACATTGGTTGTCAGTTATCACAACTATTTCAATTGTCATTATGTGATTTATAAGAAAGTTTTAAATACAACAAATTATATAACATAAGGAACAACACAAAAAAAGAACAATAAAAACAATAACTTACCTTTAAATATGTTATTATTGTCATTGTAATTATTATTTATTGTCAGCTGTCAGTGACACTTTGAAGTTTGTAGTTTGTACAATGTACCGTGTACAGTACAATAATTGTCAGTTAAACATTCGACGTTATTTTGTTTTATTAAATTACAATTACATGGTTATAGTTAATATAATTGCAAAATGGTGAATATTAATGAGACCGCTGTCAAAAATATTGGAAAGGTTTTAAACGACCCTTCAAGACCTATGAAAGAAAGATTTAGGGCTTTATTTACACTTCGAAACTTAGGAGGTAATACCGCAATAAATTGTATCAACGACTGCTTTAGCGACGATTCAGTGCTTTTGAAACATGAATTAGCCTACTGCCTTGGTCAGATGCAAGACAAAACAGCTATACCTCTTCTAAGAAATGTCTTGGAGGATAAAACTCAAGATCCAATTGTTCGGCATGAAGCAGGTTAGTTACATCAAAACATTGAAAGTCTCACGTATTCGATACAATTTACAATTTCTTTACAATTTCCACTGCATAAGAGAATACTCTAAGCTTACACGGTGTTTGTTTTAAATCAAGCTTCTGTGACATATATATAAATGCAAATTTATTACATTATTTACTTATTTTTACAAAGTCGTAAAAGCAAAACCTATTTTTTTTCAAGAAAAATAAAAGAATGTGATGCTATTATTACTAGGATACTAAGTACATTACATATACAATATATATATCAAATGAAAGCTTATTTTTTCCTATACAATGATTAAAACATTAATATGGTTTTAGGGTAAATAGTTAAAAAATAACTAAATGCGAATTGCAGTACTTAATTTGACTAGACTGAAGAGCAAAAGCGTTCACGATTGTTTTACTGTTTTAACATAATTACGGACATACTTGAGACATGTTGATAAATGCTGGTGGCATTTTGTCACTTTGTTTCATTCAAGACAACCGCAGATTGGCTGTGAACTTTTGAAAATATACCCTACCCTTAGTTTTAACACTAAAGGTCACACTTTCAATTCCAGGTGAAGCATTGGGTGCTATTGGTGATCCACATCTACAGGAATTATTAGAAAAATATCAATATGATTCTGTGATTGAAGTGGCTGAGACATGTCAGATAGCATTAGAAAGACTAAATTGGATTGGTAAACAGAATAGTGAGAAATTAAGTAGTAGTAAATTTCTCTCTATTGATCCAGCACCACCAAGCACTGAAGAAGATGTTGAAGTCTTAAAGAATACTATGATGGATGAAAGTAAAACTTTATTTGATAGATACAGGGCTATGTTCAGTTTAAGGAACTTGGGTACAACTGAGAGTATCAACGCTTTAGGTGAAGGTAATATTTACAATTAATTTTTAATAGTTTGATTACATATGTTGAATTGACTTTCAGTTTTTAAATTGATACAAGATATTTAGGCTTTTCTATATTTCCTAAAAAGTTCCATAATCATTTTCATTGGGTTTTAAAAAATTACATTTGGTAAGTATGAATATGTTTGATGTTACAGAAAAATAAGATCTACTTCATAGAGTGAAATGCACACAAATCAAGTGACTATTATACTATACAATTATTTGTAGTTAAGTAAGGTGCAGAGGTGCTTTACAAATAAATTTATATTTATTACATTAGATTATAGTATAATGTAAAGTATACATTTAAACAAGCATTGTAAATTGTATGTCTCTCCCAATTTCTTTTTTATTTAAGATGATTATTCTACTAAAATCAAAAAGTAAAATTAAATAGCCTTGTTTTTACTCAATGCTTATACAAGGCTGATATAAAATATATCAAATTTACATAATACATATGACATGACATAGCAAGAGAAACAGAAGAGTGGAGCAAAAAAGTACTAAACTGGTGCCCAAGGTACAGCAAATGAAAAGGTGGAAGACAACTTAAGAAGGTGGTTAGACCAAATTAAAGAAACAGTGGGTGGTACATGGCAGAGAGTTGAACAGTGTAGATAGGAATTGCGGGATTTGGAGGCCTTTTCCAAAAGAGGCCACACAGATACCTAAAAGAAGGAGATAGATATGTGTTTAAATGTAAAAATACCTGAATTAAAAGGCTATTATTATTATGACATAATGCACATAAATTTAATCAATTAAATATATAATTTACTGAATAATATCTTGTAAAGTGAATTGTCATTAGCTCTTATTAATATAAACCCTTTTCTTAGGATTCAAAGCAAGTAGTGCTCTGTTCCGTCATGAAGTTGCTTTTATCTTTGGACAAATGCAAGATGAGCGTAGCATTCCATTTTTGAAACAAACACTTGAAGACACATCTGAACATGAAATGGTGCGACATGAGGCAGCTGAGGCACTTGGTTCCATTGCTACTGATGAATGTACAGAGGTTCTTAAAAAGTAAGTATTGTTTTTTGTTACTAAGTGGAATTATATTGAAAACAAGTTTGAATTCCTGTTACCTCCTAATCAGGCATAAGGAAATCTTTGGCATTGATCTTAAGTAAGCAGGTCGGCCTTACTGAATGATAATTATGTGTTAATAATTAAGTATCTTACAAGTTAAACGTAAAAAAACGGCGACCGTGTTTTTTTATATTTAGATATATGGAACAACAAAGACTAATTGAAGTGTTAAGTAATAATTGTCATTTTCATTTTGAAGGTGTTCCTTTCAGTGTTAATTAAGCCATTTTTTGTAGACCATTGACCACTTCTATGTATTTTAATATTATTTATTGTCCTTATACAGTGCAGTGTTTATTTTTTAAATATGCACAGGCTTTTCAATAAAATCTTAAATTGAAACAAACAAAATAACATTAATAACTAATTGTTCACACTTTAACAGTCATGCTTTGTATTAAAACTATTGCTAACTAAAATGATAATTTATTGCAAAATATTGGAAAAGATAGCTATGTAAAACTTGTTAATAACAGTGGAACAGGTCTGTTTCAGGGGAAATTTTATTAGCTAAGTTAAAGAAATAGTAGATTTAATGTAGTTTTAATGTTTCATTACTTTTATTAATTTTTCAAAGGTTTTTGCGATATAATATGATTGTTCCACGGAAATAATAAAGGCTATCTAAGTGCTACAGGACTTAATATACCCTGCAACCAGAATCACTTAATAACAGGTGAGCCGATGTTAGGTGATATTGCCGCCCACGGACACTCATAATGCCAGAAGACTCGCGAGTGTGTTGCCGGCCTTTTATATTTATTGTGTTCGGTTTTTCTTGTAGCATTTTTATTATTTTAACTGTTAAGCTTATTTACATCTGGTTGTGTGAAAGAAACCCATTTATACTTTTATTTTTTACCTGTTTTGTGATTTTCTGTGATATATATAAAGGGAACTAGCAATCAATTAATTTGAAATATTTTATCATATTTCAGGTACTTAAATGACCCTCGCCCAGTGGTGCGTGAGAGTTGCGAAGTTGCTCTCGATATGTCTGAGTATGAGAACAGTACGGAATTGCAATACGCAAATACATTGCTTACTGTCGAGAGTTAGATTTTGTATAGAGATATTCATAATGTTTGAAGACCCCTTATTAAAATTTCTGTTACTTTGACCATTAAGCAAGGTGATTCTGTGTCTGCTTGAAATTTTGCGCCGGTTCGAACCCAATACCTAATTGACTATTATTATATTATATAGTATTTAGTATAAAACCGAGTTCTGTTTTTTTTTTAAATCTGCTAACACAGAAAAGATACTAAACCTCATATATTTCATGTTTCATTCTTACTTTTCTTACTTTCTATCACTTTGCAGACGTAACAAAACACTACTTCAATAATATATTAATACTTGGGAACATGATAGTTTAATTATTGCCAATTTTCTTTACATGAAGCTTACGATAGTCAATTGGTATATGTCAATACAATACTGACTTGTATATATATAAATTATGCATACGGTATTTTATACTATATATATAATACACGAATACTATTCGAACCTACACTCCAACGGGCTTCTGTGTTTTTCATTTAAAAATTATGGTTATTATGTTATCATGTCGATTTTCGTATTTGTACTAGCTAATATTGAGGCAAAATAAGTATTTTCTAAAAGCGGAACTTTGAATTGTATTTTGTACATAAAATACTGATACTTAGTATTTTTAGTTTTATAAATTTTAATACAAGTGTTATTTACTATAATTTCATGTTTTATTTATTAAATTTAGATTTAAAATGGTATTCTAAATAAGTGGTTGTCGGTTTCGTTGTCTAGTTGATAATATTTTTATGTGGATGAATGTATGTGACCCTAAAACAAGATTTAACACACCTTACTATAATTAGAATTTATAAGGAAACCATCTTCATTAGAAGTGGATATAGTATTGGCCCAGTAGAATTACCCAAAATATAATAACGAGTGCTACTTAATTTCAATCAGAATTTCGTGAGTTGGCTTAGTGGCTTCAGCGTGCGACTCTCATCCTTGAGGTCGTAGGTTCGATCCCGGCTGCGCAATGGACCAACCAATGGACTTTCTTTCTATGTGCGCATTTAACATTCCCCAAAAAGTCGACCGCGTGCGTCAGGCACAGGAGGCTGATCGCCTACTTTCCTATAAGATTGACAAATGATCATGAAACAGATACAGAAATCTGAGGCCCAGACCTAAAAAAGGTTGAAGCGCCACTGATTTATTTTATTTATTTCAAGTTGCGACATCAGCAATAGATTTTCAACATACATCGAAATTGGATGTCACCATTAAAAGACGACACTAAAGAAATCGCTGCCATACCTATCAATTTCAATAATTGGATATCAATTAACATAGTACCCCGGTTCTAGCTTTGAAACTATAACAAACAATTAAAAAACTGACTTCTGTTAAAACTACAGTGAAATAAATAAATGATATTAAAACGCAAATCAAATAAGTTGTGTATGGTTTATAGTGTCGTAAATTTAAAAAATATTATTTTTATAAGATGCAATGTATTTGAAAAGTGCATTTTGTTTTGCATTATTTATTGCTTATAAAGCATACGGATTTATAGTGAGTATTTTTTATTTGATCCTTAAATTGAGCTCTGGTACTCAAGATTTAGAGTCAAGGTTTAGTGCTTAGAGCGATTCCTGTTTGTCAATAAAATTTTGTTATACAGGAGTCATAGTACGCAATAATCTCTACTCCGAATCTTCCCATAAACTTGGTTGTTTTAGCGCATCTGTTTGACATTTTTATTTAAAGAAACTTATTCTTGAACAAAATTTCCACAACTATATTTACGTAATCTAAATCAGCAAAACAATTTCAAACGTTATTCGCAATCACATTGTTATACATTAAGGGCAGTGGCGTAGCTACCTAGGGGCTAGGCGGGGCAGTGTCCCGGGGCCCTCAAGCTCAGGGGGCCCTCAAATCCTTACCAGAAATCTCGATCGAACTGAAATTTTGGAAATTTCTCCCATTTCCAAAATAAATATGACAGTTTGCAATCCTAGTTTAATCATGACAACTCAGTTGAGGGAAATTCAAAAGTTTTGCCTAGGGAAGCATTTAGCATTTTTAAAGTATTTGTATATTCATATTTTTATTTGATAAAACCTAATCAGTTTACATAGCAGCGGGCTCCATTTTTTTAATTTGCCTCAGGGCCCTTGGTCACCTAGCTACGCCACTGATTAAGGGAGTTTGTTTTAGATGCCAAATGCTCTGGAAACAGAGCAAACTTCCTTCTTCGGGTTCACACATGAGGTAAGAATTAGCTCCAGCACAATGGAACTGGTTGAGGAGTTGCAGGAGGAACTATCTCAACATTCGGAAGGTGATCGCCAAGTTAGGCGATATTTTGATGCCTACGACACGCCATTTGTTGGGGAAGAGAGGAGAAAATCTAATTTTAATTATGAATAAATACCAACATTTTTATTTTGTTTTATATTAAAAAGACAACGTCACTCCTACTAGAGTCTAAGGGTAGGTACAATTTCAGAGTGGACACTTAGCGCGAAGTATAAGATCCGTTCGTCAATTCTATACGTTAAATTACATTATATTTTTGATGGGAGTTACAACTTCACGCTTTGAGCCGTGTTGTCTTAGTGGTTTCAGCGTGCGACTCTCATCCCTGAGATCGTAGGTTCGATCTCCGGCTGTGCACCAATGGACTTTCTATGTGCACAGTTAACATTCGCTCTAACAGTGAAGGAAAACATCGCGACATGTCTTAGACCAAAAAAGTCGACGGCGTGTGTCAGGCACTGGAGGCTGATCACCTACTTGCCTATTAGATTGAAAAATGATCATGGAACAGATCCAGATATCTGAGGCCCAGACTAAAGAGGTTGTAGCGCCACTGATGTTTTTTTTATAACTCCACGCTTTCGGAGTCTCGACTATCCATCTGAGATTATAACTAGCTATATAAAAGCATAAAAAATTCATTAACAAACTTTTAAAAGCTGTAGTCAGTCAGTAAAAAGCCTTTAAAGTCGATCACTCCTCACAATGAAATATATAGCAATACCTACTTGATTAAATGATGCCTCAGATAGTGATATAGATAACATTTAATTGGATATTATACACCCCCACGTGTATTAAGCACGCACGAATTTGGCATATATGAGAAATAATATTACTTTCTTAATTAATGTGACGTGACTTGGAAGCTGTTTAAAATAATCGCGTCGAATTATACGCCTGGGAAGTTCCCTTTTCATTTTATGTGCTTGGCACATGTCGATCTCTAAGGGTCGCGTTAATGGTTCAAAAATGTGCGCGAATTTTGCTTATAATTTTACAACACATACCTAACAATGGGAACTTTTAGACTTCACAATTCGCTCTTAAATATGGTTTTAATTTTATTGATTTGGATCGAAACGTGATTTCGGTTTTCGTTCCGGGAATTGTTTTTCTGAAAATATGTTATTACTTCGGGTATGTGTTATTCCACATAGACAAATAAGGCTACAAGGAATTGCAACCCTACTGGTAACATTTGTAAGGCGATGTCACTGTAATGGATGATGGTTGTTGTAGCAGCTAGTCACGGGTTTCTTGGTAGAATGCTAACGTGTAAGTTTCCCCAACAGTGACGTGATTGGTGGGAGGGATTTAGTGGGTAGGGCTAAACAGCGAGTCCCACATTCTGTGCGGAAATAAATTTCCTTCAAAGAAAATTTAAAAAAAAAACGCGCATAAGGCTGTTGTTGAAGTTTGCTGTAAAATCATCTATAACCAGTGGCGTAACTATACCATCTGGGGCCCGTGGCAAATCTTCTTTCGTGGCAATTCTTTTGATGGGGCCCTATCAGTAAAAATCGTCCCTACTCAGTTTAATTTTAATAAACTTCGAGATTTTCAGCGTACTCAATTACAGGTTGTATATGTCCCACTAATGGCCATAGGCCTTCTCTCTTAGGCGAGAGGGAATGGTCTGTAGTCCCCACGCTAGCCCAATGCGTCTTGGATTCTTCACATTCATCCATAGAACATAATATCTCTTAGGCCCCTGGCCCTCTTGGTCGGGGGCCCGTGGCATTTTGCCAGCCCTGCCACCCTATAGTTACGCCACTGTCTATAACTAAACTAATTATTATAATAATATAACGGCTTTACAACCCTTTGTGGGTCTAACTTAAATCGACCTAGAACTACTCCACCGTTTTCTTATAGGCAAATAGGTTATCACCCTTCAGTTCATTTTTCCCAGCTTAGACATAGAAAAATTCATTAGTTCTTGCCTGGGTTCGGAAATGAGAATCGCACACTTGATAACACTCTGTATTAGGGATTCGAAATCCAATTAACATATTGGAAATCTAATAAGGAAGTAATGCAAGCTTTAATCAACAATTCTTCAGTATAGTAATTTCAGGCCTTCTCGATAATGTCGATTTTATAGCACATTTTCCGATATCACGAAGAATTCTTAAACTCAGAGTTTTGCTTGTAATCTTATCTTTTATTCATATATCTCTTCGAAATAGCAGACAGTCTTAACCCCGGTCAGAGGGGCTCGATTACACAGAATAGGGACAACAATAATTAGATACATATATTGGTCTGAAACCTGTTCATACTTTTGTCAAGTACATTTTAGTAATACTTATAATTTCTTTAATAGTTTAATAATCATTGAGTATTTAGGGTCACAGAGGCAAGTGTGTGAATAAGATTTGATAGTGGTTTTGCTCGCCCGCAAAAAAAAAACTTGTAATTTAGTTTTCATACAGCCCATTAGCCCTAGAAGAAGTCCTTTTACTTCTTTGATGCTTTATCCACTACTAATTCAAAGTTACTTATTAGTTTTGTTGATTAATTACTCTAATTGTGAAAATAAATGTATCAAAAGCGAAAATCACGGCCGTGTCTAGCGATACCTAGAAACTTCGGCTACAAATTACTACTAAGACGTCACACCCTGAACGGCGCTAACATAGCTAAGGAGATATACTTATCATATAGGACATATATTATCTAAATATCTATATTATCCTCCCCAGATTGGAGGAACAGTACCTACACCATCCTAAAACCCCACGTGTATCTAAAATGTGTAAATAGTCTGTTTAAATGAATTATAAATACTAATTTATCTTTCTATAGACAACTGATGTGCTTATATGACACAAACACAATAGACTCGATATGGGATACGGTGGCATAGAGTGCCAACTTTGAGAAATCTGAACAATAAGCAGTAGCCGTACCAATTGGCATCTAATGTAAAATGCAAAAGCAATAGTGTTTTATGGACTTTCAAAGTAGCTCCGAGATCGTTACAAATGTATAAAAAGACTGCTTTCGCGTGCGTTATGTTAAAATGCATTTGAAATCGTTTCTTAATGTTTCTGGAGATTTAAAAACATTGTGTTGATATCCAAGTCAAAAAGACACTTACTTGGGATGGCCACAGTGGGAAGAAAAAAGAGAAGACACCCACTAGAAATCTGGGAAGATGGAATAAAGGTGGGAAGGATTGGAAAACGGTGAGAGATAAGTGGAAGAATTTGGAGGAGGTATTCACTCCGTCGGAGGTCGTGTAATGTTAAACATAATGACTGTATGGTAATGGTAACGTTATCCTGATCATTTTATTTAAATTAATATAACAAAAAACAATAACTAACCTTAAAATATAATAACTAAAATATATTATTAAAAGGAATCCCTTTAGGTAGTTCCGAAGATAATAGCAGCGTTCCCCCTTTGAATAGCTAGACTAATTCTTTGTCCGAGGTAGCTGCCAGCTCTTCGGTCTCCTATGATGTTGACTATGTAGTAGGTACTCGAACATAGGTTATTTTTATTTATTTTATTTATTATTCGATTATTGTTCGAGTATTATTCGATGGTGGTTGTTTTAATATCATAATTTTATACATACGTATAGTTTAAATCCACCTCTAACGAGTGGTTAGCATTCTTACGGCCGCTTTTTAAACTCGATCTATGATTCAAAATTCATTCCGATCCAGATTTTTTGCGATCGCGTGAAAAAATATCGCAAATTTAGATTGATAACTGTCAAAATCTGTCGAATTCAAAGATAATTTTTATAAGTAGATATGTTATTTTCATACAAATATCAATACAAAAAAATGAGCAGTGTTGGCCTAGTGGCTTCAGTGCGACTCTCATACCTGAGGTCGTAGGTTCGATCCCCAGCTGTGCACCAATGGAATTTCTTTCTATGTGCGCATTTAACATTTGCTCGAACGGTGAAGGAAAAACATCGTGAGTAAACCGACATGTCTTGACCCAAAAAGTCGACGGCGTGTGTCAGGCACTGGTGGCAGATCACCTACTTGCCTATTAAGGTCGATTTACATCAAACGAGCGAATGCTCATTCTATCCCCACTACATCAAATTCTTCTAGTGTAAACAGGCGTAGAGCATTCTTTCGTTGTTCTTAGTGCGTTCGCAAAGATTCTATAGAATATTCTAAGAATGCTCGTTCGCTTGATGTAAACGGCGCAAGAGCGCGCGAACAGTTGCTTAGAGCGTTCTAGCGTGTTCGGACGTGCTCGCGCCACTGAGCGGTCTTTTCAAAGCGTTCTTGTGTTCTAGCTCTAGCTCTATGTTCGTTTGATGTAAATCGATACCTCTAGCTTTCGTTTACACTAAAAGATTACGAAAGAATGCTCTTGTTCTAGCTCTAGCTCTACGTTCGTTTGATGTAAATCGACCTTTAGATTTCAAAATGATCATGAAACAGATTCAGAAATCTGAGGCCAAGACCACAAGAGGTTGTAGCGCCACTGATTTTTTTTATCAATACAAAAATACCTATCGGTCCTTCCAAAGGTGGTTTACAAAAACAGATGGACTATCGATCCATCGATCGGTAATGAAAAGTATTTTATGAGAAATGGATTGAAATATCAATCTCTAGCAGTTGTATTGAAAAGGATTGGGATTGAGTATAGAAAGCGGCCGTGAGAGGACAAAGCCGGCAGACTACTTCACCTGATGTCATTTTGACGGTACTGTACGTGTCAGCTGTTTCACTGGACAATTGCGATGGTCCTCAGTTGACCCTTTTCCAATCGGGTGCCTGGACGCGACGTGATTCTTCGATTGATTTATTTTGTAATTTAAATATCCTGAGCATCAAAAAATATATTAAAAAATACAATATACAGTCGTAAATTGATCTAGTGGTGATGAATAGACTATCAACCTTGTATATGTATATGGAACAACTATTGTTTTGTTGTGTATTAAACCCAGATATTCGGGTATATACATAAATAAAATAAAAAAAGCCTTTTTATTTCTTGCAAAAGAACAAAGTAAACTTAATACTATTTTTACACTAATTTTTATTTTTATATTTTTATTTGCAAGAACCCTTCCGCAGGTGAAGGCCTCCTCCAAGGAACTCCAGGTAGTATATACGGGT